AGTAGACTTCATCATTGGTGGAGAGTACCCTAAGGACGAAGCTGTGATCCGTCGCCTTCAAAATCCAAGGAAAATGGCCTTTCCAAAAAATCGCCCGAAATCGGTGATGTTACCCCTTTGAAATCTGCCAAAAATGTTCCCGAAAATATTTCGCCCAAATCGGTGTCTAATAGACTCATTCATCCCTAAAGAATAGCCTCAGCCTGAATCCGTGATCTGCAGCCTTCAAAATCCATTGAAAACGGCCTTTCAAAAAAATCGAAGAAAATTAACAAAATGCCCTCCCCAAAAGTTCGACCAAATTTATGCCCAAATCGGCGATTAGGAGACTTCATCATTGGAGGAGAGTACCCTAAGGACGAATCTGTGATCCGCCGCCTTCAAAATTCAAGAAAAATGATCTTTCCAAAAAATCGCCCGAAATCAGTGATGGTACCCCTTTGGAATCTGCCAAAAATGGCCTCGGAAATATTCCGTCCGAATCATTGTTTAATAGACTCATTCATCCCTAAAGAATAGCCTCAGCCTGAATCTGTGATCTGCAGCTTTCAAAATCCATGGAAAACGACCTTTCCAAAAAATTGAAGAAAATTACCAAAATTCCCTCCGCAAATGGTTAAGGTGCACGGGGTCTTACCGTCTTGCCGTTGGTACTCCGCATCTTGATGGAGAATTCAATTTCACCGGGTCCATATTGGAGACAGCGGGTAGTTCGACCAAATATTTGCCCAAATCGGCGATTAGTAAACTTCATCATTGGTGGAGAGTACCCTAAGGACGAAGCTGTGACCCGTCGCCTTCAAAATTCAAGGAAAATGGCCTTTCCAAAAAATCGCCCGAAATTGGTGATGGTACCCCTTTGGAATCTGCCAAAAATGTCCCTGAAAATATTTCGCCCAAATCGGTGTCTAATAGACTCATTCATCCCTAAAGAATAGCCGCAACCTGAATCCGTGATCTGCAGCCTTCAAAATCCATGGAAAACGGCCTTTCAAAAAAATCGAAGAAAATTAACAAAATGCCCACCGCAAAAGTTCGACCAAATTTATGCCCAAATCAGCGATTAGTAGACTTCATCATTGGTGGAGAGTACCCTAAGGACGAATCTGTGATCGGTCGCCTTCAAAATCCAAGGAAAGTGGCTTTTCCAGAAAATCGCCTGAAATCTGTGATGGTGCGCTCCCTCCTTTCCCTTAAAAAAAAATATTAATACAAAGTATACAAATCATAGCATTAAAATATAAAAAATAGACAAACAAACATTACATTTTACAATATGTACAAAATCGTCATCTAAACATTACATTTTATAATAGATAAAAATAACAAACTAGAATGATAAACGATACAAACCGAATTGATATAAACATTACATAATAGGTCGTCAAACATCACGAATCCAGCACTGTCGTCGGAAAATCCATCTCTGTCGTGTCTGGTCGTCAGACTCCTCCGCCATCGTCGGAAAAGCTACCGGAATTCCCAGGGCGGTCGGCGGCAGGTCTTAGAAAACAGGCGGCCGGCGGGAGGGGACAGCTAATTCAGCCCAAATTTTATTTTTAATTTAATTATTAAATAATTAATTTGTGTAATTACTATTTTGTCCTTTATTAAATGAAATTAATCTAGATATTAAATTTTAATGAGGTGCAAAAGTGAAAGATTCATTTAGTGATCACTAGTCACAAAATCTCAGCCCATCTTTAGTGCCTAGCAAATCCAGTGAGGAGAATTTTAATTACACAGCGAAACTCCACCAAACTGTAACAGACTGGCCCCTTGAGAAATTGGCATTAGATCTCGTCTCGCAGCTGGGGTTGAGTGGAGAGCAAGGTTGTCAAACTGGTTTATGTCAGTATGCCGGTTTAGCAAATGGAATGGTTCAACCGGTGGCACATACCGGTTTGTGCCGGTTCATGCCAGTCAATATTACAAATAAAATTATAAATATTTATATTTAAACATGACATTTAACGTCAATACCTAAACATTTATACTTGAATCCAACAAATAACATCAATATTTAACTTTTATACTCATAAAATAAAATAATTTTTATCAATTAAATTTTCTAAAATAAGGCCATTTTATTTAGAGATTCGTATATCGATCATGCCGGTCATACCGGTGGTATTACGCCGGTTTTATGACCGATACCGATTGAACCCGGTACAACCGGTTGCACGTCGGCAAGCGTGACAACCATGGTGGAGACCGGAGAGCATCCGAATTATTAAAGTTGGTGGGGAGACGAGATGACCTGTAGTCACATTATCGATAGGAACCAGATATGGTGACCAAGTGGCAGTATCTCAGTGGATGAAACGATCTTCCCCTTAACTTTACCTTCCAAGATAGAGATAATTCTAACTTGCCACCAGCCCTGGAAAAAAAAAGGGAAAAACCGGCCACACAAATTGCTCAAAACTCAAAAGCCACACTCCCCAATTGCAACTTCTGCTGTTTTCAATTTATCTGCTTCCACACCCTGAATCATGGCTAGCTGCAACATGGCGTCGGCCGCTTCAGGGTTCGTCTTCACACCTAACGTCACAACAACCTCAAAGACCAGCGGCAGCAGCTTCTTGTTCTTCGCACCCAAGAACAACAGCAGCAGCGGTTCCCGGCTGCAGCTCGTTGTTAGGGCGGCCGCGGACGAGGTATTATCAGTTACTACTTACTAGTATAACATTTATTCACCGATATCAGATCTATATTAATTACATCGATTACCATATCCAGGCTATGAGTACCAGGTATTATCATTGAAATGATAAATTATACTTGTTTCATGCACAACTAAGGAGGCAGGTTGTGCAGAATAAGAACCATTGGTCAATATACTGCGTTGGGAGCTCATGTTTCCAAAAGTTTGGAAGCTATTTGGTCAATTAACCATGCCGTCAGAAGTTAATATTCTCAAAATGCCAAGCAAGTCATCAAATGGCTTATTAGTCCACATGTGAATACTTTTAAGATGATTGCAGTTTCACTACTGACAGTTTTTCCTTAGGCTCTTGCAGCAAATGATAAGTAAAATGAATCGAGAATTCAAATCAATCGATTTTTCCAGGTTGTATAATTCTCCAAAATCTCATTTTTATCAAATGAATCGAGAATTCATTTCATTGTAAAATGAATTATCGTGTAGAATTCATTGACAAATGAAATCTTGTGTATGGCATGTCATATTCAAATCTGTAAAAATAAAATGAATTGCCGTGTAGAAATCATTGTCAAATGAATTCATGTGTTTGGTATGGCATATGTATAAGTAATTTAGTTAATTAAAGAAAATAAGTATATCATTCTATTACAATTACTAAATACTTGTGGAATTCATTTGGAAATTCTATCTCGATTCCTCGGAATTGCTATAACTAGTTCCAATTTCATAAAATTCAAAATTTAGAATTAAAAATGAATCTTTTTAAATACCAAACACAGAAATGTTTCATTTCAAAATGAATTTCTCATTACTTATGGAAATGATTTATATCAAATGGTATATAATTTGTGCTAACATATATACTTTCATTCTCTAAGTAACTATTTTAACCTAACTAATTAAATCTAGTTTCTCGCAAGATATAGTTGCGTAATTAATGGTGCGTACCGCTAAGTAAAGCAAGCTTTATCCTAACTAAAGCTAGTTTCTCTTAACATAATTGGGGGGAGGGGGCGATTAATAGAAATTATTAAACTTGAAAGACACGAGAAGCAGGGATAACTCTATGAAAATCTATAATTACAAGAAATTAGCTTATCGTAAGTTCTAAATATGCTGATGGTTTATGCTAGCTCTTTCAATTCTTCAGCGTCTTCCTTTGCTAGTATCAATAGTTTCTATACGAAAGCAGGTAGCAGAATTTGATGTTTGGCAAAACAAAACTCACCTATTTAATTATAAACCTACTAATAAAACTCATGATTCAGAAACAAAAAGGGAAAAGCTAATCCCTTATACGTTCCAGAGAAAACCAAATGGAAAAGGAAAAGGATTCACTCTCCAAGATTGAAAAGGAAAAGGTCATAGTTAAAAGAAATTCATAATAATTAAAGTCCAGTGAAAGAAATATTGCTGCCAAGCCAATTTTAGTGAGGTAAAATCCTCATAATCCGCTCATGAAAAAATCCACCCCCAATATTATAAAAAAACTGAATCGCTAAATGTCCCCTTAAAATTGCTAACGGTCGCCCTAACTCTAATGATAAATGACTTATATACCCCAATAAAATTTCAAAATTTAAACAAACCAAACAATCCCTAACCCCTTAAACTGAACCTCTCATCTGCCTTCTTCACGAATTCCTCTCGACGCACCAGTTCGTCGGCGTCTTTCCCGCCGTCGTCGTCGCCCGTTCTCTAACGAAATTTCCAAAAAAACGCTCAACCTAAGGCAAGTTACGGTTGGTCCATGGTGCTACCGCAAGTGAGCTGCGGTTGGCCCATGGTGCAACCGCAAATGAGCTACGATTCCCTTTTTTTGTTTTTTTTTCAATTTTTTTAGTGAACTTTACCGATTCAGAGTCGCTAGTCATGCTCCAGACATCATATCGACGATTCCAACTCCAGAATGACGATGATGGATTCTCTCTTTTGAATAATGTTTTATTTTCTTTACTTAGTTGTGTTTGTTTGCTAAAGGAAGAGTAAAGAAGCTAAAAGGTTAAATTTGTAACTTTGATAGTTTTTAGGGCGACATTTAGCAATTTTAAGGGCGACCTTTAGCAACTTCCAACAACCTTCGGAATATTTATGGGGACAACTAAACCAACTAATTAGATAAAAAAACTACATCCTTTATTCTGCGGAGACAATATAGTGTGTTTGTCCCTAATATGACTAAGAAAACTATTTCCTGAGACAACATAAAAAGGCCGTCCCCTATTTTGATCCCCAAATCTCTTTGTTTTTGTAGTGATGATTTCATCGATGAAATTAATGTGATTGTATGAAAAATATTTTGATTGGTTAATTGAATTGTGGTAATAGATAGGTAAAATTTAAAAAATGACAGATTAACGAGGAACAATGACTTAGTTTATTGATAATACAACTAATCTAAAACCTTGAGATCTCAAGTTTGAATCTCTTAAATAGTATTACCTTAATTAAAAAAATAAAATATATATCACCCTTATTAAAAATTACTAATTAATCCAACAATACATATATGGAGGTTTTTGCTTGGCACCTACTTATTTGAGTATTTCCTGGACTCCGCGCAAAGGAAGGAAGGACTTCCATGTACCCCCCTTCCATAAAAAAGAAATTACCCATAACCCTCCATTGGCTAGCATTGTATTTATATATGATAGTCATGGTTTTATTAATGAATTCTCATAAGTTTGGCGCTTTGCTGATAAAATACATTATTGGTGTGTTGCTAAAAGTTTGGTATCAATAATGAAAATTTAGAAATTTAACAAATTAACAAATTATCAGTCTAATTCCTAAAAATACGTGTAGTAAACGTGTAATACGTGTTTAATACTTGAAACTATTAAACAAACATAAAATAAGGAGACTAACTTTATAATAGTACGTAAATGAAAATTTTAAACACATTTAATAGAAATTATGTATTAGATGGATATTAACCAAACTTTTACTAACTATTTTTGGGTCTTTCGACATGCATTCAGTTATGTCGTATAACAAAGAAGTTCCATATGGTTTTTAATTTAACAATTCAAGAATATAGTCTATTTTTATTCAAAGGTATGAACATGTTAGCGTGTGCTAAAAAATATTGGTCTAAACTTTAATTTCTAATCCATTACTGCAATCATTACTTTTTTCTTGAGAAAATTATAAGTGCATGTAAATTTCAAAGACACTATAGAAAAAAGAAATTACATTTTGATTTTGAAAAAAAAAATGTTCAATAAATTCATATCATCTATGTACATCGTGGCGATATCAACTTACATGTATAACTTTTAATTTTTAAATGACATGATTTACTGAAGTTCTGATTTTCAATCCAAGTATATAAAATGTGTTTTGAAGACACTTTATGAAGAAGAAGCGTTACTCAATTCAACAAGATTCTTGCTAAGCTATTGATGTTATGTTCATCAAATCCATTTCATTCTTCTTTGTCTCTGAACCTCAAGTTAGATAAACATTATTAATTTAGTAGTACTTGAGTTGTTAATGTTCATTTATTGACGATTAGTCGGCATTATCGGTGAAAAAACTATTCTTTTTAATTAAAGCTACTTTTTGAAAAGTAAATTAGAGCTACCTTGATGTTACTTAATTTTGATATTCATGAAGTGATTGAATTTCACTCAAAGGTGACATTATGAAATGAAAGTATGGAGTATTTACCAAAAAAATAATGCAGTTGAAGTTCATATTAAATTTAGTGATTAACGTATTCCAAGGTTTGAAAAACCGTATCATACCGGTGGTTCGACATATAAATCTTCTATCGAAGGCTAAACCGATAGACGATATTTAGCGGTATAAAACGGTTAAACCATGGTTTTAGCTTCAAGTATCTTACCGCTGACTTTTTCGATACAACCTCCAGTATAATATTTCAATCCTTGCAAATTTCATAACCGAATTACTATTTTTGAAGATTATCAATGATGGCAAAAAATAATCTCCAACAAAAAGTTGTGATTGGGATAAGGTACACTGTTTGGCATGAAAATGATATTTCATATATGATTAAGATCTATGTTTTGAATTTGCTTCTAAGAAAATGTATGTTGATAATTAAGATAGTGAATTTGATGATAGATATTCCTGATAGTAAAGTGATATTGATACTGGTTATTTTGGAATACCTACAATATTGTCTTATTAAGTTTATTATGAGTTGACATACCCTTGCATAAGTCATATTTTTTTTTTTAAATTTCAGCAAGAATTTGCACAGAATACACAGTAATCTTTTATGATGGATGCTAATTTTCTCTTTCCCAAGAAATTAAATATTTAACTTTATTGATGATAAAAACTAAGAAGTTGTCTTGCTATTTGATAAAAAATATATAATTGTTTATTGATTTATATGGTATTGACATATAATTGTGACATGAATATATATAAGAGATGATGAAATCATTGAAATTTTATTTTGAAACTTAATTAATTAATGTTATCGTATTTCAACCGGCCAACGAGCCGGGGTACTATCCAGTGAGATTCTATACAAGTGTCAACTATAAATTTTGAGACTGCAGGAGAGAACTAAAATAATAAAACCACTGAAGGTAGAACAAAAAATACATATAAAAACCTTATTTGACGGGTAAACGGAGAAAACTTGAACGGTAGAGAAGTTTGCACTCTACTGAATAGTACAGCGTGGAAAGCTGAGGAATTGAGAAAGAAAAAAAAAACATATATAACAGGTTGCAGGAATAATGGAGTAAGAAAATATAATAAAGAAACTCCTACATATTCGTGCTTCGTCTATTGAGAAGAATAGTTTTGGGCCACACTATCAATGCATGGACGAGAGAAGACGTCGGACACCGCACACGTCGGCTTTTATTTCTACAGCCCTTCTTGCGCCATTAAGTCTCCCTCTATAAATTCAACCCATCCTTCATTTCTCATCTGAATGTTAAATTAATAAAGAGCTGATAAGGTAAATACGTACGTAGTTTATCCAAAATAAAAACAAAAATTTGAGGAAAGGAAGAAAATGGCGACCCAAGCTTTGATTAGGAGGACCTCGAGGTCTGCTTTTGTCTCCAGGCACATTCAGGTAACATGGTATATAATTCACGATTGAACATCTCTCAACAACTTGAGTTATTGGAATCAACTCGTTCTTGATAATAAGTACCTTCAATTAAAAAAATGAGTCTACGTAAAAAAATGTGTGCTTCAATTAATAATGATATACAACTCGTGTGTGTTTTTATTTTCTTGTGATTTTAGTTGTGGTTGTTTGCATCCACATTTTTATTGTTCACCATGGATGAACAAACATTGTAGCTCATTCCTAAGTCCTAACATAGTACATTTAGCGATGACAATGGGGCGGTGTGGGTACCTCAATTCCCATACCCCGCTGCATACTACTGCTGGTCGGGGTGGGTAAAACCTGCGCGGATACGGGGTGGGGCGGTCGACCACCCACACTTATATGTTATTCGGAAAAAATATATGCAAAATTTACTTTTTATGAATAAACGAAGGGAAAAACACTTTATGAATGAAAAACAGTGATAATAGAATGGGTAATTGAGTCTAACAAGTTGAAAAATTGACTCTAACTAGTTGAAGAAAAGTCGAAATAAGATAAATATAAGTAGATACGGTAAGAAATTTAGATACAAATGGTTCTAGAACGGGACGGGGCAGGGGCGGACTGAATGTAGATACTCATGCCCCGCCCCATCACGGGTCAGGTCGGCTAATACCCGCGAGGCGGGTTCAAATTGCCATCACTACACTATATTACCAATTTCAATTACCAGGAGAACCGTTATATATACTAATTTTGTGTTTTCATCACAAGTTGTGGGAAGTGTTTACTTCGCTAGGAACTGAAAGAAGCATCACTCCGTTTCATTCCAATATTGTCATTTCTTGCAGACGAGTGCACGCCAGGATGCGGCCTCTACAATCGATTCGGCCGCTCAGGCGACCAAGAAGGGAGCTGCAGAGGCGAAGAAGGTTGGGGAGGAAGTGAAAGACAAGGCCGCCGGTGCTGCTGGAGATGTATATTTCTCTACCGTTAACCTATTTTCATCACCACTTACTCGTCGTATATATGCACGAGTACGATTGAGATATGCATCACAAACCAAATAATCGACCTTTCACAAATTTACATGATGGATGGACAGATGTCCCAGAAAGGCAAGGAAGTGGCGGGAGAAGCAGCAAATGTGGCCCAGAACGTGACCGATAAGGCAAAACAGACGGTCGAAGGAGCATGGGGAACAATGAAGGACACGACACAAAAGATCAAAGAAAGCGTTATGAACAAAGCAGGCGAGTCCAAAGAATACGTCAAGGAGAACGCAGATGCTGTGAAGCGTAACATAGACTCCAAGAAGTCGGATCTCTCATAATAATCAAACTAACTAAATAACACATCGTCCCCATTATTATTCTATATATTTTCAAGCATACTTAAATACATGGAGACCTTATTCCATTTTTCGCCGAATATACATATCGAGTTATTTATACAATTAAATTACGAACTAGGCATGATTTTTTTAATTTCCTATCAAATTGTTTTGAAATTTTGTTCAGAGTTCTTTACACTACATTACAAGTATTTAGAAATTACTTGCAAGCGATGAAAACAAATAATTATCTACTATTTTCCCTACTATGAATTGTAAATAAAAAAGGTTACCATTTGGTTTAATAAATAAAAAAAAACCAATTTGTTATGATAAGTTTCTGCAAAAGTTTTTAGAGCATTTGTTGAAGGACGAAATTTAGCTGCAACCCGGGTTGCAGCCATCCCCTGCAGCCCGGCGACATGGCATCATATAATTGGTTGGTTTTTTCTTAAATTATCAATAGTTTTATTATTATTTTAATAAAGGAGAGAGTAGTTAACGGAGGTCCGTAGGTAACGGCGAACGGAATCCTCTCTTTGGAGTGAATCTTTTTTTTTTTTTTTTGGAAAATTCACCCTTTTATTCACAGAAGCCAAAATACCAGCAGAGACTCTTATAGTTTAGTGTTAACGTCAATTATTAAATAAAAAACATCCTTTGTACAAATTATAGCAGCAGACAACGTGTTTCGTATTATTGACAAACGGTAAAATATATTAGGTGTCTAACACTGCTCTACAAATTTTCTCGATATGTCCTATTAGACGAGTGGACCTTGTAAGTGGGTTTCATCGTTAGCTTTTAAAAATTTATTTGGATTTAAAATACAAGAACAAATGAGTTATAGTCTAATGAAAAATATGTTTACTATAATAGTAGAAGTGACTCAGGTTCAAATCACATAGACTACCACTTAAATTGAGATAGAATGGGTCAAGAACATGACGGGCCAGGTCAGAAGTAGATACACATACCTTGTCCAATGCTATTGCGGGTCGGGTAATACCCCCCCCCCCCCCCCCATCATGGGTAGTCAGGTAAAGCCCTACTGTGCGTCAAATTGCCATCCCCACGTTCCATGCAACCGACCTTGACATTTGAGGTGTTCACAACTAACTCCCGCAATTGGGTAAACCCAATACAACATTATGAACACAATTACACTCGTACTCAGACCCACATGATGAATTGGTAGTCCTCTATTCAACCTAGGAAGATGTTCAACCCTAAATTAATCAAAGTATTAAAATTCGCCACATACTAAATAAAATAGCCACTTCAACAAATAATAAATAAAATATCGTTTCATAAGTTTACACTATATTTGAATTTTTTACATTTCAATAAATAAGTTATTATTTTCTAGATTTAGAAATATTATCTACCGTTGTAAAAAAAAGTATTTGGTTGAACCATAGACTACAAAATTAAATAATATTTTATGGCAATGGACAAGTATAGGCAGTAGAGAGTAGAATGAAAAGCAAAGCAAAGAACTAATAATTAACGGAAAGGAGAGAATAATGAAATAATGAATACGCAAAAGAAAAAAGTGTTTATGGTGAAAGAGGGAGAATTCCGTCCGGCAATAGCTCCGTTAGATAAAAATGAAAGCATGTATTTTGATAAAACAGCCAATTATACGATGACGTGTGGCCGGCTGCAGGGGACGGCTGCAACCCGGGTTGCAGCTAATTTTCGTCCGTTGTGGACTGGCTTCCAACTACGAGCAACACTTATCACATATAATCAGTAGATCGTATACAGAGTTTGAGAAATATTATTCACTCACTTTAACTTAGGTGGGAGGAGGGTAACGAGGTGAAGTTGAAATACCAAGCTAGTTATTTTGTGTTGGGAATTTGTTTGAATTTGACCAATTGGTCAAACCGGTTTGGATAAAAAAATCAAAATGGTGTGGGGTTAATCGGCTAGATCACATATTATAATTCCACGAAGGGATACGTCCCTATGTTTAGTGACGGTTGCATTGTCATAGCTAAGGCTAACATTTCATAAAACAATGTTCATGATAAATACAAACTTTAGCAAAACAAAGCATTGTATTTTTATAGATAAAAACAACTTTTCATGAAACAAAACACTGCATTTTCATGGATAATGACAAGTTTTATGAATTAATGCATTTCAATTTCATGAATGAGGGCAAGCTTTCATCAAACAATGCAAGGTTTCAAGTTGAAAGTTGTCACCGTCACCAGACCGTGATAATATTATCCAGACCATGAATGACGTAAATGAAACGGTGCGTTTTGACCGGACATCAAGGTCCAAGCTTCGAGATCACGCCCGTGATAATTGACCGTGATGTGCGCGACTTGGGTATAAAAGGAGATGGAAGCTGAAACTTGAAGGGGGTCCTAGTGATAGAATATCTCAGCTGAACGTCATGATTCTCAGCTGGATTCAAGAATCCACTTCTGCAAAAATCAGGAAAACCATTCTTTCTAGCAAAACAGCCTTGGAAGCATGAAAAAGTTTACAAACTCGTTAGGAATCTGGAGATCTCATGCAAATCAAAAAGGGAAAACAAGCAAAGATCACGATTAGCGCAACTTTATTACGGCCAGGTGACCGCGAAGAAGAGGGACAGACCGTGAAGCTCACTGACGACCAGAGAGTTTTGCGCACCTCGCGGGCATTGGAAGCATCAAAAAGTTTACAAAATCAATACCAATCTAGAGATCTTATCCGGATTGCTGAACTTGAAGAAGCACTTGAAATAGATTTAGAACCCTGCTTTTGATCTTAATTATTGATTGTATGTTTATATACAGAAACAATAGCAACAGTCTAGCTGAAACACAGCAGCACGTACAGCAACTAAACTACAATTCAGGAAGTGGTTGAACGGAAACGTAACAGCATGCTGAAGGAAAGGAACAGAGAGAAGTGGCCGTTTGCTGAAGCCGTTGAAGATGTCATCGTGGGCTTGGGCTGATGCCTTATCAGCACTGTCATCTCTCCAGCAAGGTAACCAAACCATCACTGAATATTATGCTAACAATTTAACTATTTTTATCAAATAGTATTGTAACCTCAAGAACCCGTGAACCAAAAAACGAAACCACCCATACCACCACGATGGCGACCAAAATGGCTGCTGTATGCCACCTTTTTTTACCCCTTGACCAGCCATCTCTTTCCCACTTCCCCACTACTTTTGCACACATCCTCACGTATTAACTCCGTTTCTGTTGACCTCAACCCCTCCGAAATTTATTTCAACCCTTCACCGAAACTACTCCATTCTCTATCACCACCAGTCCACTTCCCCAACCTTAAATCACCTTACCCAACCATTTCCCCCACATAAATCTCAACACATGCAGCTTACCATTTCAAAAATTGGCGCCCAAAAGCACCCTTCTATTCGTCCCTTTTCGTCCATTTTGCTTCTATTATTACCTTGCTTCAAGGTTAATTTTATCGATTTTTCGATCGGTTTAAAAATGGCTAGTGTAGTGGCTATGAAAGTTGTTGTTCTCGTATAAGCAAAATGTTTTTGTACAATTATTAGTACGAATATAACCCGAACTAGCTAGTTAGAATAGGTTGTCATCATCAAATTCTACATAGGTAACTAATATCCATTGTCTGCCAAATCTGTTTCCATCACTAAATTTACACCCGACTCGTCTGCATGTTTGAAGAACTATGTAAATGAAATTATGAAACTAGTCACTGCTGTAAAGAAAATGGTTGTGGTAGTTGTCCGTTGCAAAATTCAAATTTTTTTTATTTTTTTTTTTAACAAGGAACCGGGTGCATCAATGAATCTGTGTTGTCGATAAGAGCGAGCGCAGAGCAATAATGAAAGGCTCCCAGTCCCCAGCTAGCTAGCTCCCGTTCTGGCCTCGAAAAATTGCGCTACGTACACTCACAGACGACAGAAACATAAATATCCGAACCCGCATTTAACCTAACCCCATATTTACTTCTCTCAACCACCACCCACCGCTCCACTACTTTCCCCGCCTTTAAAAGGGCTCGGCCTCGGGCTAGCATCCCCAACGGCCCAACATTCACTCAAAAACTAAAATGGCGAAGTTGGCAGTTGCTCTCTCTTTCCTTGTCGCTATTCTCGCCGCGGTGCCTAGCCACGCCGGCAGGCACGTCCCAGCTGGCACCACGAACGAGGTGGTCGCCGGATCCGGTCCCGCTGCCGCTGGTGTGGGCGACGAGAAGAACTTCATGACGTACGGAGGAGTTGGCGGCGTGAGTGGGGTTGGCGGCAACGGCCTCCCCTTCGGCGGCGTGGGTGGACTCGGTGGCGTCACCGGGCTCGGCGGTGCTGGTGCTGGAATCGGGGGTGGAATCGGTGGTGGCTTCCCGGTCGGCGGCGACGGAAGCGGGCTTGGTGGGTTGGGTGGACTTGGTGGGCTGGGTGGCCTTGGCGGCGGCGGTCTCGGTGGCTTGGGTGGCGTCGGCGGTGGCGTGGCTGGCGGCGTGGGAGGAGGCGCCGGTGCCGGCGGTGGAGTTGGTGGCGGAACCGGAGCTGGGGTCCTCCCTTACCCTTGAGAGACTTTAGCTAGGGCATGAATGCATGCATGCATGCATGGGTGTCGTAACATTATTGTCACGCTGTCGAAATATGAAGTAGTGTTATTTCTGTTGTCGGTTTTTTTTTCTTCCTTGTAGTCTGTTGTGTCTCTGTGTCTTGCTTTATTATTGTGTATCTTTCTTTAGATGTATGTCGGAGTCATGTGTATCTTCAGTTTGTGTTTGAGCTGGTATTATTGAATATTGCGGGGAGACTGGCCAACCAGCTAGCTGCCTGACATATTTATTACGTTTGGTAAAACCTCCCATTTATGACTTCAACCAACGCTACTGTTGCCCAACCGATAGCTGCTTCCCTTTACTACTACACCAGACCAAAAATTCCTTAATTAAACAGGGATGTCTCAAGGAGTTATTAGTGGCTGGAGCATACATATAGTGAGGAAGTGGACAAATAACCGCAGCGTTTAGTTTGGGGTTTGAGTTGGTCGATATGCTAATTAAGTCCATACTTTAGAGGGTTAGATAGGCTAAGGGACTTTCTGCCCATTAATAGCCCACTAGGTGGATATGTGCCGCGGTGCAAATAGAGTTTATTTGCATCACTTGCTAAGCCTCCGTCCTCCACTCTAGTAGCCACAAGTTGAGGAAACACTCGCAGGTTATCAAAATTATATGCCATCAATGCAATATAGTCAAGAATTGCTTCAATTCATTGTGGACAGGTATAGATGTTATTAAGTGCGAATGTTTAAGGTCTTACGGTCAGAGTTGAGGGAAAGGAATGCGA